AAAATAATTTTACTCTCGCAGTGAATTGTTTTATAAACCCCCCCACCCCCAGCAAAATTAGAGAGAAATGCGCATTTGTTTATTGTTACCGGGACAAAATCCAATGTTATTTTATATATATAAATATATTGTGTTTGTGTAGAGTAAGACGATTCTTTCATTAGAAGGCAAAGAATGCGTCGTGATTTTATTTTTGAAGCTACATTTTTTTAAATGTATTATGTTGGACTTCTTTCGCACCGTACGTAGCCAACTGTGTCAATCGGAGGTGTAGTATTGAGTCTATGGGTGGTGTTGATTCTATGGTTAGTCATAGTCTATGGCTAGTTTTGAGTTCATGGGTAGTGTTAGCCTATGTATTTTAGACTCCTTTCATACCCTACGTAGGAAACCGTGCTAATCGGAGCCATGCCCTCCCCTCCCTCATGGTTTGCTGCTGCTACTGCTGCCTCTGTAGAGAGATGATTTCTGCAAACTAGGAACGCGGTGCATTTTATCCCCGATTTCAGCTGCCATCTGAACACAACGTGCGACTGACTGTCTCTCTCTATGTTACTGTCCCTTCACTCCAATCAGTTTTCTCGTTTTTACCACGTGAGCTGCAGCAAGCCAGTGACGGATTGGGACTAAAAATAACTAAATCGGCCCGGGCATTTTGTAAACACACCGGCCCCAATTCGGGATATGGGCAATTATTATCTTAAATGGTTGTTGTGCGATGACAAACTGTCTAGTGCTAGCAGTAGCTAGATGTTGCGTTGTGACGTACCGTGCTGTTAGCGTGGTTTTTCCGTGCGATCTCATGGGCCCATTTGGGGCTGGGTCCAAAAACACGAATGGGCCGGTGAGGAAGAAGCCATTGGGGCTGCTGGATACTATGGGGACTTAATGTCGACCGCGAGAGCGTAAATACGCGATGAAGCGTGCACTTTAGAGGTCAGTTCAACACGTAGTAGGCTCTCGCGACCAATATCATCCATAATATCGTTTTTTTTGGGTTAGAACGCGTAAATATATAAATGTGTCATTAAACCCGCCACCACTCGACACAGCCAATTAGTAAGGTTTGTCACGTAAACAGAACGTGCCAAATCGTTGCTGGTTCAGCACACCGGTGTGTTGGAGAGCAAATCCACAACATTAACAATCTGAGTATGACGTTTCGCCAGTAATTACAACTAGCTTCATCAGGCGGACAGCCAATACAATATTTGGACTACATTTTTGTAATTTTATGTATATAATTAGCCTACTCTGATCACATTTAAAATTTTCCCACACAGGAGGCCTCCACCGGCCCTCGGAATGGACCGGCCCCACAGGGGCATTTACCCGTGCAGCGCCACATTTGTTGAGCTGATGTACTTATTCTTTATTTCACCAGGTAAGGCCCCACTGAGCTATGTAGCTCTTTTTTCAGAAGTGACCTGGCCACAAGCGATAGCTCAACGAAGTGGCTTTATCGTGTGGGAATTTATAGCCGCGAAATACGTTAAACGCGATGTTGATTCTAAATGTGGAGGGAGAGACCGGAGGACCTGGAGAAAAATCCACGGGACCTTCGGGGAGGGAGAGAGAGAGAGACGCAGACTCCAAATATACAGCAGGCGTTAAGATCGGGCTCGAACCCAAGACCTCCTGCGTACCAGGCGAGGAAGTGAACATCTCTCCACCGTAACTTGCGTGCCGGTGCAGGGTGCATCGTTCATCACTGGATCGCGAGAGATAGACGCACCTTGGGGAGTATTTCAATTAGCAGTGGATTGATCTCGGCTAGTAATGATGATAAGAGCCGAATGCACGATATAAAACTACTTGCAAGGAAATGCCTTTATAACGACTGTGAGTGAGATGATTCTTGTTTGACGGTGAGAGGAATCGACTCGTGAAGCCGTGTTAGAGCAGTCAGACAGTGGGCTCACCGGGCCGTCGGCTTCGTTTGGTTCCAACGGAACAAGATTTGTCTTTCAGCTCAGTCAGAACGTGAATGAGACAATATCCTCCAAGCAGAGTGGGCAATAGTACCGCTAAATGGATTAAGAAGGCTTTGTGAGTGGCACTCGTTTAAAAAATGCTCCGTGGTTTGTGCCGGCGTTGCTTGGTCAATTATCGTCATTTATTTAGGTAACAGTGTCAGGGTATGAATAAAAGTTAAACATTTTAATTGCCAAAAAACAGGAGTGAAGCGTGTTGCATTCACCTCAGGTAATAAATACTTCTTTGGTAACGTGAATAAGAGATTGTGACCACATTTAAACTGATAGTTTGTCAATATTTTTGGCCAAATTTCTTTCATCAGGATCCGAGTTCATTGTACTATAGATGAGGCTTGTTAATCTGAGACAAACAAATCATTGCGTTCCACATCGTGAAATATCACAACCACGTGGGATCGATGCCGACCCTGATGCCTGCTGGATATTTGGAGTTTGCATGTCTCTCTCTCCGTGGTCACGTGGATTTATCTCCGGGTCCTCTGATTTTTCTGTCCACATTTAGAATCAACATCATCACGCGTTTAGAGTATTTGGCTGACATTAATTTCCTATAATTTGTGGCCAGGTCGCTTCTGAAAAAGAGCTATATAACTTAGTGGGCCTTATCTGGTAAAATAAAAAAAAGTTAGTTCTAGTTAAATGGTTATAGAAATGTAAAGTAGGCAAATCAGCAATGCAATATGTCGACAGCGTGACGAGCAAGAGGCTGAGCTGTCCACAACGTGACGGGCTCGCTGCTATTGGTGGCACGAGACTCTGTGGGTGGCTGGAGGGCCGGACCGTAGCGTCAGGCTCGTTTGCTATTCACCGTGGCTTTGAAACGCCGGTGTATCGGTCCCGTCGTGCCCTTGTTGTGCCGTGCGCCAGCTGTGTGGAACAACGTGCGTTTATCATCTGCCTCGCGTAGCGGTGGCCAATTTGTTCTAGCTCCCTTGCTCTCTCCCTCTCTCTCCCCTGACACCTGGCCACCCAACACATGGTTGATAGTCGGGAAGAAGTTGAGAAACTGACAGCAAAACTCTAGGGTGCCTCTGCTTGGGGTGGGGGGGGGGGTTTCATGCCGCCCGGTGTCCACGTGTTCGGTCAGAGACAGAACTTTGCACTCTGATTTGATTCAAATGGTCGCAGTGGTGTTTGCAAAATCCACACGTGGTAATTGCATCGAAACGCTGGTTACCTGTTCATGCGGCTTTGTAACGATCTACCGATTCATATATTTTGCGTCCTTTGTTTCGCCAGACTTGAAGGGGCCCGAGTTCCAAAGTGAGGCGCGCGTTTCCGAAAGAGACCGAGAGTTGGCGTGACACAGGGCCACAGGGTACGAAATCACGTTCATGGTCAAGGCTTTTTTTTTGCCACCCACACAAAAACAAAAGAGATTCAAATGGCCACTGTCACTTTTCTACGTTTTTATATATATATTAAATAATTAAAAAAAGTAATGTGCACGTGACACGAAAGTAAACACCAACGAAGCCCGGCTTTTATTTCGCCGGCAATTATCCCCCGTTGCAGTTCTTGATGCCAATTAGGCTACTTCACCATTCACCGTGTCCTGCAGCTGTAATAACGACACAATAACGACATTTGTACTCTAAATGTAAATGTTGTGGTGGGTTCACTCTCCAACACACCGGTGTGCTGAACTAGCAACGAATCGGCACGTTCTGTTTACGTGACAAACCTTACTAATCGGCTGTGTCGGGTGACGGTGGCGGGTTTAACGACACATTTATATTTACGCGCTCTAACTCAAAGAAACCTCTATCATGGATAATGACATTTGTATCTGCTTTGCATTCAATCTACTTCCTCGCTCGTTAGCAGCAGCCCACCACAATGCTTCATCTCCGCCATAGTCGTCGTCGTCATCGCCACCATCAACATCATCAACTGATAAAATAAATACGCAGTATTCAGTGTTGGTAATCGTCTTTAGCAACAACAATAACAACAACAAGAAGCATTTGAGAATTTGCCACAACCACATCTGCTGATGCCCATTCACCATGCCAGGGCACATCACGGCGCCGAGACCGCTCACGCTCTCGGCTTCGTAGCCGCGGAACAGAAAAAAGGGGATTCAGGAGGTGGGGGGAGGGGGCGAGGTTTGGTGGTGGTGTAGGGGGTGGTGGTGGTGGTGGTTGGTTTTAGGCCACAAGACTACAAAGCTAAAAGAGCTGCAATGGAAATTTCTCTCGGCGAAGAAAAAAAAGGCAACGGCGGTGGCGGCAAGAAGGACGGCGAAACAAAAAATAAAAAGACTTGAAGGAGCAGCTGCCCCCTTTTCTAGCACATATTCGCCACATTTAGCGGTTTCGCCATATGCTCACTGGATTATCGCTGCATACTTTGTGGATACACAGCAGGGGAGGCCCTCTCATGCTTCCCGGCAAAGCTGGGATCTGCCCTCATGAAGAATGCCCCCTCCATTCTCCCTGTCATATGTAATTGAAAGCACATTTGTGTTGGCCTTTTAAAAAAAACACATCAAAATCACCGATAAAGCCTTCTCTTTCCTCTTCCCTTATTTTTACGGCCGTAATAATTTTTCGAGATTTAGAAAAATCCGAGATTTTCTTTCGAGCCTTTTGCGAAATCAATTTTTTGTTAAATCAGTGACTCCCCGTGTTGGCGAGTTCTGCGTACCGCGATGAGGTTTTGCTCGTGCGTGATTTTAAAAACCGGGCGTCATCCTTCTTTCACCCCCCCCCCCCCGCCGGCCGTTTTGACCGTGAGGACCGATTTCACACGGCAGCAAGCACCCGCCACCATCACCACCACCACCGCCATCACCGCCGCAACCGCCGCCACCGCCGCTGCCACCGCCGCTGCTTCCGCCGCCATCTTAAATGCAGTTGGGGCCTCTGGTTTCACAAAAGCCCTTTGGACGCCTTTGCGGCGGCCGCTGCCATGGCGAAGTTTTCCGTGGCGGCCCCCCCCCGCCGCCCGCCCGTCCGCCCGTCGACCAACGTCGAAATGAAAATAAAAATCGCCGAGTACCTGGAGTCCCGTGTCCAACGTCGCCGCTCGGCGCGCAAATCCAGCGAAAGCAGGAATCTTCCGCGGATGGCGCGGATGAAGGTGCGGCGATGTTCCAACGTGAGAAAATTCCATGACCCAGCATGCTCGTCTTCTCGGCTTAATGTCATACGACCCCCTGTTTCTCCACTCCGTTTGCCCTAAATGGATTTTTTCTCTCCTCCTCCTCCTCCTCCTCCGCCTCCTCTTCTGCCCCCCTTTGCGACGCGTCCACCGTGGTGGGGCTTCGTCCGCTCGCTTCGTGCCGCCTCGCCGTTTTTCGGCCGCGTTTTGCGCGCCCTCCGCCATGATTTTCCGCTTGCGGGCTCGGACCCTCTTCTGCCGTTGAGCCGCTACCGCCACCGCCGCCACCGCCGCCGCCGCCGCCGCCACCGCCGCCTCCGCGTTTGGCCGAGTGATGCGCACCGTCACCGTCGTGGGTCCGAACGCCGCGCAGCATCTCTCACCTGCGATTGGTTGCGGCGCAAGGCATCATGGGAGCTCCACGGTCGCCGTGGAAACCGGTCCTCCATCTTCTCCCCGGTCGCCACGGCACCATCGTTCACCGGCCTCTTCAGTTTAGGGGCGGGGTGGGGGGGGGCAGGGAAGCGGTTGCGGCACTCTGGACGTCGGGCTGGCGTGCTCGCTACGCCAAACCTAGGATGCTGGGCTGAGAAATTCAAAAATAAGATGAAAGGGAAGCGTCACGGGGGTGTCTCCTCCTCCCTCCCCTCCCCCTTCTCGTTCAAAGGCCTCCGAACGTTCCGTACACAAACGTGTGAAATTGCGATTGGAAGCGAGTGCGGCCACCTGTGCCCCCCCAAAACCTCCTCCCCGCGTGATTATTTGTAAAAAAAAAAATATAAAAAATATTTACAGTGCGCGTTGTGTTTACGCAACAGCGTGTACATTTCTACGCCGCCGATTTTAAAACTCGCTCGTGCAACGCAGCAGTAGCAACAAGGACAACAACAACAACAATAACGACACGGCGGTCCATTGGCGGTGGTTCGTGAGGATCGCCGGTGCGCATCGTCTTCATCGTTAGCACCGAGTCTCAAAATACTAACACGCGCGGTAGACTCCACGCTTCCAGCCACGTCCACTCCTGCCCAGGGCTCCGTGGAAGGGATATTCCCCTGAAGTGTTCGCATACGGTTCCGTTTTTTTTTGGTTTGCGGTCACGAGGAGCGTGTGAATGACCGAGGTGGTGAGTTCATCGTTTTGCTGATCATCATCATCATCATCATATTCTCTCCTCGTACAGGAGCAGCGATGCAAGACAGACACGAATTTTGGCAGGAACAGCCAGGATAAAAAATAACATCTTGTTGTTTTTTTGGCGGGGGGGGGGGGGGTTTCCCTTGCCACATGTTTCTAAATTACTGCACTAAAATACACAAAGAATACAAATTGATGTCTGTTTCAATTCTACTAGTGGCTTTACTAGTTTGTGTGAGCGTGTGCAAGTAAAACCCGACAGTGTGCTCGGGCGCCACGGTGGCTATGAGATGTTAACTACCTCGCCTGGTATACAGGAAGTCGTGGGTTCGAACCCGACTCTGACGCCTGCTGCTGTATATTTGTAATTTGCATGTCTCTCTCTCCCCGTGGTCGTGTAGATTTTGTCTCCGGATCCTGCAGTTTTCCCTACACATTTTTCATTATCAACGTGCGTTTAAAGGTATTTGGCTGCTATACATTTCCGCTTGAGCTATCGTTTGTGGCCAGGTCCCATCTGCAAAGGATCTCCATAAATATAGTAAATAAATACAGATACAAAAATACTAACATCTCCAAATTTAGCCCGAAAAAAAAACAGTTTGGGAACGTTCTGTGAGTGAGCACATCACGTTGGTGCCATGCAGGGCATGGAACGGTGGCATGTCCAAAACCATGACCCAACCACCGTAGTCTGCTGGTTTCCGCTTTTCACACGCGCCACACACTGGATACGTACGGAGTAAAGGCTGAGGTGACCTCGGGGGGTGGCCAAGACCAAGTAACAAAAACGCTTTCAGTACCAATAATGTTGCAAGGTCCAGGAATGAAGTCCTGGATTCTGGTTTGTTGCATTAAACGCCACTTACAAAGAACAAGGTGTTGACTCGCTACAATTCACCACCGCCTACGTAATATTAGATCCAGTTATCAAAACAGCTGATCACAGAGGCCTGGGCGGTTGTGCAAACTTCACATAAGAAGGGCCTTGTGCATGGAGGTTGCATTCCAAAACCGCACCTGCAGCTGCAAAAATGCGACTTGGACAGAGACCAGATAGCAGCCTTTTTTTTTTGGAATGTGCTGCTTTGAAGAGCTGGCTTTGAATTTGACTAAAACATTTGAAAGCATTTCGTGAAATGGGGTGGAGGGGGAAGAATACAAATAAAAATCCCCGCTCTGCACGTCACTCACTTCCAAAGGCACCACGGCACGGGGGAGAACGTAGTCCTTAATTTGCAGAGCTATTGACAAGGGGTAATTACATTTTTTACCCGATGACAAAGTAGAAGGGCCTTAAAAATGCGTGCCTAGCCAGAAAGGCACGATGTTGGATACGGCGATGACGAGGGATGAAAGCGCGGCATTAATTTATGGGACATGGAGGCGTTACAATCGAGGGGATCCTGAGAGTGGCGGGCAAAAGTATTGACGATCTTGCATGGTGATTTCATACCTCCACATGGTCTTTTGTTTGTATCGCCGCGTATGTTTGTGTCGAAATTCTTCCGCGCCGTACGTAGCCGACCTTGCTGATCGGAGGTGCGGGGGAAGAGGACAACAAACAAAATGAACAGCACAAAAAGCAGTTCTTAATAAACGAGTTTTCAATCTTTGAAATTAGTTTTCAACCGCGTGGGTGTTCGTGGTTGTCAACCGGGCAGCTCTCCGATTTGTTTTCACGTCGTACCGCGCATCGTTCGGCACAACATCCGACGTTTTCGCTGGACGCGTTGGGAGCCTTTTTCAGGAAACCAAGGTTCTTTGGGAACAGAAAAGGCTCACAGGACGCGGAGCAGAGCATCGAGCATCACGCCGGAGAGCACTCTGGAGCAACGTGAACAATACAAATTGTTACAGCGTTTCTTCTATTAAACTTAACGTGAAGGTCGCACTTCAGGCAGATGGCAAGTTAAGTCGGCGGTTCAGTAAAAGATCAAGGATCAAGACGACGTGCAATTATTAACCAAAAAAATCCATGGAAAGCGTGGCAATGAGGATTCCCCCCTCCCCACCCTTCATTTAATGTTTGTATTGATGTGTAGCCAGGAGCTCGTGCTAGACACCCAGAGTGAGGTCCTCTCTTTCCACCGGCTTCTGACACTTTTTTGCACGTCGCTCCAGAGCCACTGCAGGTGTGCGGCTGATTGCTGGCACCGTTTACAGCCAAGGTCATTGTCGCTGCGCGGAGGACGAGAGGGCGCGTCTTTGTCTTACCCCGCGCAAACTACTGCGCCAAAAAACCATGGCACCAGAATGACAACAATGAAGGCTTACGTGCGCGCACGTTAGTCCGTTCGCTTGGTTCACGCGCGAGCGCACGTGTCGCCACTGCGCTGGGTTTTCGCAGCCGCACCGATCCGTGGCGTGGGCCGAATCGTCTGTGCGGCGGCGTTCAGAAGGCCCCGACGTTTTGCCCGCAGGCCAAACTCGGCGTCGGCTCCTGTGGCAGCTCCCAGCAATGCGCAGTGAAGCGTCGTGCCAAACGCAAAAAAAAAAACGCGGTACATCCTGTGAACGCGTCGGAGGAACGTGGCGTTTTACCGTATTGCAGAAATGTTATCGAACGCTGCTTATTAAACAAATAATTAACCGTGAAATAGGCTCGTTACAATGTGGCGCGTAATAAGTAAGTCTGGGTCACAGTTGCGTCCTGAGATTGATCGTTCAATTCCCACGACGGACGGCAACCTTGCAAAGCACCAGCTTGTGTGGAGTACAAGCAGTCCCTGACTTACAAACAGCCGACTTGCAGACATCTGCACTTACAAACGCGCACTTACGGACATATTTACTTCGGCAAATGTACAATATTTATTCTTATCTATGAGTAAAACAATGCTTCCTTTTTTTGTTGAACCGTTTCACATTTCATAACACTGACCGTATGTGCATTTAAACAGAGTACATTATTGTGTTCTGACCTTCCGTTCGCGAGACCGGTTCATAAGTCGAACGGTTCGTAAGTCAGAGTAGGTCTAGGGAACAGAACCCGTTCGTAAGTCGGGGCACTGCCCGTAAGAGGGAACGTTAAGGCCTGAATGTTGGCAAGTACGGCAAGGTATATATGTATGTACGTTTGTATGTTGAACTTCTTTCGCACCGTACGTGGCCAATCGTAATTCCTATTCTTAGACTACAGCCGTGCGTGATGATACTCGCTCTAGAATGTTACCGTGTGCCAGTAATTCAGATTTTAGTTTGTGTAAAAAAAAGTTAATTGCCAATTAAACAAATCTGCAACAAGCAATGAAAATGGGTATGTTATTGAGTCGCTTGTGAAAGTCTGCAAATGAGCGATAATTAAATATGAATATTAAAACTGTTAAGTGTCACGTTAAAACTGACATTGTCAAAGCACCAGAGCAGCCGATAATCAGCGTAGCCATCCACCTGCGAATTAGCAAGCGAAAAAACAGAACAGACTTACCCGCAGACAGCCGGTAGGCGTATTAGAGAGTTAAAAATCGCACACGTTACACCAATGTGAATTAGTAATACAACACAACATAAATGTTAAACAAAGCGTGTTGAACAGGCAAGCCATCTGGAGGACGAGCATAAGTGTTACATATTGCTGACAGGTTTAAAGTTTTACAGCTTGCCATCCTGAAAGTGAAATGAGAGTGGGAGAAGAAAGAGTATAAACAGAGCTATTTATTTATTTAATAAGGTAAGGCCCACTGAGCTATAAAACGCTCTTTCAGAAGCGACTTAGCTATCACAAACAATCGGTCAACGAAGTGGCTTATTGCGCGGAGATTTTCATTCTCATGTTGATTCTAAATGTGGAGGGAAAGTCCAGAGGATCCAGAGAAAAATCCACGCGACCACGGGGAGAGAGACGCAAACTCCAAATATACAGGCGTAGGGGTCGGGATCAAACCCACGACCTCCTGTATACCACGCGAGGTCGTTGACAGTTGAGAACTTTGCCCACAAGCGGAGAGGGGTAGAACACGTTCAAATATCATTACCACTGCTTTTTTAAAACTTTATTTCTCTGACCTGTTATTACGGTTGGACAATTACAAAAAAAAAGATTTTGCACGCAATTTGGATCGAAAGCATTCGACGTAGCATGCTGCCCCGAAGCTCATGGTCCACCATAAATTACATCCACTGCACAAATCATGGCAGTAAATGCGAATACCTGATGATGCACAAATGTAAAATTAAAAACTCTCCAGTCGTGTGCGACCGTGGTCATCCAGAACAGAGACCGTGCAACGTGTAACGACGCAACGTCCGATCCACAAATACGAAGGAGACATCGCAGCGATGACACACTCCTCTGCATCTTACATTGCTGGACAATAATATATCCATAACCGCATTCAGGGCGAACATACTATTTTTATTTTACAATTATACAGTAAATACAAACCAAATTAATAAAATGTGTTTCACTGCTTGTTCATATTTCAGAGATGAAGTTTTAAAAAAGCGGATATCTATAATATTGTTATCGTCATTTAATGTGAACGCGGGGGCTGAGATTGTTGCTCGAATCTCCACTGATCATTATTATTAATCGGCGGAATGTGGTCTCGTGTCTTCCGTGGGTGGGAAAAAGACGGATCCGTAGCGGGCGGGGCCTGCGATAGGAACCAGCGTTTAAATAAGTTGCCAAAGTACATCACTCGGATTTAAATATCAATGGGCAGGCAGTTTGCATGTGAATTGAGGAGTCTGGCTAAAGTACAAAGCTCAACTGGTGGGGGGGGGGGGGGGGGGATGCAGATCTGTGGTGGTTGTAAGCGACAGATTTCCCACATTTATGAGGAATAATAAAGTAACGGCGTGAGCACATTGGGCACCACGTTGAACTGCCCACGCGTGCGTCTATTAAACCTGGCGACTACGGAGAGGGGGGCACACACCTCGGGTGTCCAGCGATATCACTTGCGACAAACAAAGACAAAGATCCCCCGTGTAGCCTGTAGCAGACTGTCGGGGCAAGTGCTGTTAGCGAGCACCTACGAAGACACGGCACGGCACACGAGGGGGTGGGTGGCCAGCACCAACACCACGCCCGGACACCTTTGTCTCTCTAGCGGCGATGTTTACACACCGCACCAGGTACTCATGTGAGGTTGAGTCGACCTTGGGGAGGCCCAGAACCGGTTCAGATAATCGTCACCGATCTTGGCCGTGAGTGGGAATCGAACTTGGGTGGCCGGGTTCGTAGCGCAGTGTAGCGCTAACAGCTACACGACCGCTCCCCTAAATCACGACTCCACAGAGCCTAACACCCTGGGTTCACTCATCCGTGTCGCGCGGTGTGTGAGTGGCGGTGACCTTAATAGTTCCATTTAGTTCCATTTATTTGGTATAGCCCTGTGAGCCATTCGGCTCTTGAATCGGGTGCAACCGCGACAAACAAAACAATAAACAAGAAAACATCTTAAAGTGATTATGTGACTGTGCAAACAGAAAGTCCAGGAAAAAACATCAAAATATTCCTGAAAAAGCACCGTACACCAACGCTGTGCAAAAATCCCAGTGGGATGCAAGTCAAACAACAACAACAACAACAACCACAAGACAACTTAAGATTAAGGCCATCAGTCTAACTCCGTGCTAAAATAAACAAAAACATGGCCAAAACAAAAAACTTTTCGAAATCACCAAAACATGTGACACACAAAGTAGCTATGCTTGATAATAAAGTATTAAAGCTTTCGTGACTGCATAAAATTGCTCATTGGCTTTTTCGGTTTAGTCACGTATGTAGAAACACAATAAAATTATATTAAAACATAAAACAATCACGACGTTTCGATCACAACGCAAGCGATCTTCTTGATGAAGATCGCTTGCTTGATGAAGATCGCTTGCGTTGTGATCGAAACGTCGTGATTGTTTTATGTTTTAATATAATTTTATTGTATTTCTACATACGTGACTTTACCGAAAAAAAACAATGAGTAGCTATGCTTGATTTCAGTGTCAAATATATACACTACATTATACACTACATACAATGACAATACTGCGCTCATACATAAACCCATGTAGTCTTCGAGATTGGAGTAGTAAGTACGATACAGTAAATAGAGTAACTTTTTAAAGTTGGATGTTTATTTTTGTCCATTTGTATGTTAATGTCTGACAATTTCATACAGTAAAACAAATAAAAAAACATATAACACCTAAAAACATGTAATACAAGAATGTGCAAAAATCATCTATTTTAAATAATTGTTTAGTGATTAATTATCCGGAGTTTTTGCAAATCTGGCGTCCCCTCCCTCCTGGATAATTAATCCATGATCGACTCTAAACGCGTGATGTTGATTTTAAATGTGGAAGGAAAAACCGGAGGGCACGGAGAAAAATCCATGCAACACGGGGAGAGACACTGCAAACTCCAAATATACAGCAGGGGTCAGGATCGAACCCACGACCTTCTGTATACCAGGCGAGGAAGTTAACATCTCTTAGCCACCGCGACGCCCCCTATCTCACACAGACGCAGCAGGTGGAGTCCACGTTGACGGCCTCAAGGTGCACCTAGCCTGGCACAAAAGGCTGATGCTCACAGTCAACACCTCTAGTGATACGATTATCTGCGCCACGCTAGGGCGACTCAGACTCAAATGGGTACCTGGTGCGGTGTGTAGTAAACATCGTCACTTGGGAGAGACAAAGGCGACCGGGAGTGGTGCTGGCCACCCACCGCCTCGTGTGCCCTGTCGGCCTTCACAGGTGCTGCTGGCTAACAGCACTTGCCCCTACAGCCTGTTACAGGCTACACGGGGCACCTTTGTCTGTGTACCCCATGCGTGCTGTTGGCTCCATGCGCCCATTCCATCCACGATTCTTCTCCTCTGCCGGTCCCGGGCTGCCTCTTTCTCGCTCTAGATAATAAATGTGCCCTCAGTTCTCTACGGCGTCTTGAGATGTATGTAGACGTCTTGAGATGTATGTAGACGTCTTGAGATGTATGTAGACGTCTTGAGATGTATGTAGACGTCTTGAGATGTATGTAGACATCTTGAGATGTATGTAGACATCTTGAGATGTATGTAGACGTCTTGAGATGTATGTAGACATCTTGAGATGTATGTAGACGCCTTGAGATGTATGTAGACATCTTGAGATGTATGTAGACATCTTGAGATGCATGTAGACGTCTTGAGATGCATGCAGACGTCTTGAGACGCATGTAGACGTCTTGAGACGTATGTAGACGTCTTGAGATGTATGTAGACGTCTTGAGATGTATGTAGACGTCTTGAGATGTGCGTAGACGTTTTGAGATGTATGTAGACTTCTTGTAGACGTCTTGAGATGTATGTAGACATCTTGAGATGTATGTAGACATCTTGAGACGTACGTAGACATCTTGAGATGTATGTAGACGTCTTGTAGACGTCTTGAGATGTATGTAGACATCTTGAGATGTATGTAGACGTCTTGAGACGTATGTAGACGTCTTGTAGACATCTTGAGATGTATGTAGACATCTTGAGATGCATGTAGACGTCTTGAGACGTATGTAGACGTCTTGAGATGTATGTAGACGTCTTGAGATGTATGTAGACGTCTTGATATGTATGTAGACGTCTTGAGATGTATGTAGACGTCTTGATATGTATGTAGACGTCTTGAGATGTATGTAGACGTCTTGAAATGCACGTAGACGTCTTGAGATGTATGTAGACATCTTGAGATGTATGTAGACATCTTGAGATGTATGTAGACATCTTGAGATGTATGTAGACGTCTTGAGATGTATGTAGACATCTTGAGATGTATGTAGACATCTTGAGATGTATGTAGACGTCTTGTAGACATCTTGAGATGTATGTAGACATCTTGAGATGTATGTAGACGTCTTGAGATGTATGTAGACGTCTTGAGACGTATGTAGACGTCTTGAGACGTATGTAGACGTCTTGAGATGTATGTAGACGTCTTGTAGACGTCTTGAGATGTATGTAGACGTCTTGTAGACATCTTGAGATGTATGTAGACATCTTGAGATGTATGTAGACGTCTTGAGATGTATGTAGACGTCTTGTAGACGTCTTGAGTTGTATGTAGACGCCTTGAGACGTATGTAGACGTCTTGAGACGTATGTAGACGTCTTGAGATAGACGTAGACGTCTTGAGATGTATGTAGACGTCTTGAGACGTATGTAGACGTCTTGAGACGTATGTAGACGTCTTGAGATAGACGTAGACGTCTTGAGATGTATGTAGACATCTTGAGATGTATTTAGACGTCTTGAGATGTATGTAGACGTCTTGAGATGTATGTAGACGTCTTGAGATGTATGTAGACATCTTGAGATGTATGTAGACATCTTGAGACGCATGTAGACGTCTTGAGATGTATGTAGACGTCTTGAGATGTATGTATACGTCTTGAGATGTATGTAGACGTCTTGAGATGTATGTAGACGTCTTGAGATGTATGTAGACGTCTTGTAGACATCTTGAGATGTATATAGACGTCTTGAGATGTATGTAGACGTCTTGAGTTGTATGTAGACGTCTTGAGATGTATGTAGACATCTTGAGATGTATGTAGACGTCTTGAGATGTATGTAGACGTCTTGAGATGCATGTAGACATCTTGAGACGCATGTAGACATCTTGAGATGTATGTAGACGTCTTGACATGTATGTAGACATCCTTAGATGTATGTAGACATCTTGAGATGTATGTAGACGTATTGTAGACATCTTGAGATGTATGTAGACGTATGTA